TAAGCTGCCATTCAAGCTCAGCTGGGATAAAGACTACATTTTCATATCCATGTCAGGGATTATTCCTTAGAGTTTTACATCTGTTGATTAAGAGGTAGAAGTATAGTGTTTAAGAGCATGAGCTTCGATCTCAGACTGCCTGGATTGAGTTGAAGCTCTGCCTCTTACTAACTGTGTGGGGTGGCCTTCCAACAGTTTCTTAATCTCTCTGTGACTCAATTCTTATATACAAAATGGGATAACTCTAGTTATCTCCCACACATGGTTTTGAGGGGTCAAAATGAGTTAGTGTCTAGGAACTGTTGCCAGCACATTGTACATTGCCATTCTTGGTTATGAGGATTTCTTCTAATATCATTCTCATGCCCCTGCTCCATTTGTTGAACAGAAGTGTGCACAGTCACATGCTGTCTCCATGTAACTGACTTACCCGTATTTGTCAGCCAGTTCCCGAGCTTGCCGTTCATTGACCTCCCTCTGGTCCAGTAGATCTGCCTTGTTGCCAATTAATACTATATCTGGATTTTCACAATAAGCATTTGCTTGCAGTTGGCCTGAAAATAAAGCAGATGGAATCAGCAAGTTATTGATACATAAGTGATGTCAAATGATTGCTCTTATTCCAGATTCCTGATCTAATTGTTCATCTCCAGTTTGGTTGCTTACTAGTTATATTAGCCAAGTTACTTCCTCTTCCCAGTCACAGTGTGCTGATCTATAAAATGGAGATAACAACTTACAAATTGCAGATTATGGAAAGGACTAAAAATATATATAAAGCACCTGTATCAATACCCAACATTTAGTAAATATTAGGTGCTTTTATTATTGAATAATTCATTAAAACATCACATGTATTCCTCTGGGAGATCTTTTTAATCCATATGCTGTTCTTAAGGGGATTTCTTCTAATAATGTATATCAAGTTGCCAGCACATAGTAAGTATTCAGTAAATATGGAATACATCTGGGGAAATATCCTCTGAAATGGCCATAACTGTTTCACACCATTTGTTACTCAAATATAGACGGAAATAAATAGAACATGATTTTTAAGTGAATAAATTTTCTTTATCCTTTAGGAAGTTGCTATATTTCCCTTCCCTAACATCTAAAGTGATGATCTATAGTGTGGAACACATTTGAATCACTATAAATTCATGTAGAAACAATTTTAAGACAAGTAAATTGTTTTTCTCTTTTCTACAAAAAACACTATGTGTGTGAGAGGTGGTAAGGAGAGAGAGAAAGACAGAGAGAGAGATAGGAGGGAGAGAAGAAGGAAGGAAGGAAGGAGGAAGGGAGAGAAGGAGGGAGGGAGAGAGGGAGGTAGGGAGGGAAGGAGGAAGGAAGGAAGAAAAGAAGGAAGGAAGGAAGGGAGGAAGGAATGGAGGGAGGGAAAGAAGAATGGAGAGAGGGAGGGAAAGAGGAATGGAGGGAGGGAGAAAAGAAGGAAGAAAGGGAAGAAGGGAGGGATGGAGGGGGAAGGAAAGAAGGAGGGAAGGAAGGAAAGGAACTCAGGGAGAAAGGGAGGAAGGGAGGGGTGGGAGGGGAAGGCAGGGCAGGGAAGGAAGGTGAGGGTGAGAAAAAGAAAAATAAGAAAAGAAAGAAAAAAGAAAATAAGAAACCTGTCAAGCTGTGTTTTTGAGGTTACAGAGACTACTTAAATGTCTATCATAAAGCATGTTGTGAACTACCTTGCTGAGACTAGAGGAAGAAGACAAAGGCTTACCCTGTAATACCAATTACTTGGATGTTAAAAAATTCAAGTGTTATTAGGCATGACAATTAATTATTTTAAATCCCAGAAATATCCTTCTGGAGACATTTAAAAACAAGGGAGGCTCTCATCTGCCTTGAAAAAGGATAAACAAACCATTCTCTGAAAGAATTTAATAAGCTTATTATCTCCTTGTCTTCAGAATCTAATGCTACCACCAAAATTTGGGTAAGGAAATGCAGTATTACGTGGAAATAAAGGACAGATCCTATGAGTAAACATTCATTTGGAGAAGCATTACAAAAGTCAGGATTTGTTTCCCCATTGGTTACAACAATATTGAAACCACACTGAGAGTGGTTCTATATAATTATTATATATAATCATGAATTATATACAAAATATATTATTAATTTTACATAACATGTAGTGTTAAGAAATATATCTATTTTGAGCACCTGCTCTGTGCCAGGCACTCATCCAGGTATGGCATATTACACTGAAAAAAAGTGGAAAAGTCTGCATTTTCATAAGCGCTTACATTCTAGTGGTAGAAAGCGTCAAAAACACAAGTAAACCAAAAATACATCACATCATGTCAGGTGATGCCTGGGACTGAATGAACTCTAAAGCATGTTGAGGTGATACAGAGTGATGAGTGCTATTTCATATGGGGTGGTCAGTCAAGAGATAAACAAGGCTTGGGTAAAACTTGAAGTGGGTGTAGAAATGATATGGTTTGGATCTGTGCCTCACACTGAAATGTAATCCCCATTGTTGGAAGTGGGATCTAGCGAGAAGCGATTGGATCCTGGGAGAGGATTTCTCATGGTCTACCACCATCCCCTGGTGCTGTTCTTGTGATCGTGAGTTCTCATGAGATCTGGTTATTTAGAAGTGTGTGGCACATCCCCCTTTGCTCATGCTGCTTCTGCTATGTCAGATGCGCCTTCTTCTCCTTCACCTTCCATCATGATTGTAAGTTTCCTGAGGCCTCCCAGAACCCAAGCAGATGCCAGCAACATGTTTCCCATACAGCCTGCAGAACCATGAGCCAATTAAACCTCTTTTCTTTATAAATGACCCAGTCTCGGGTATTCTCTACAGCACTGAAATAATGAATACAACAAGTAAACCAAAAACTACATAACACAGTATCAGGTGATGGCCATGACCTATAAAGTGTGTTGAGGGGAGACAGGGTGATGAGCACTATTTTAGATGGGGTTGTCAGTCCAGAGATAAATAAAATTTGGCCAGAACTTGAAGAGAATGAAGAAACTAGCACAAGGCTGTAAATTGGAGAAGAGAAAACAAAGGGGAATGGCACGTTTTTGTATTGGGAATAGCATGGGAGCCAGTTGGGCTGAAGGCTAGTGAGCTGGGCCTGAGTAACAGGAATTAGAGAGGAAGCCCAGGTATCACAGTGACCTTGTAGGTAAGTGAAGGACTCTGGATTTTATTCTGGGTAAAATGGAAAGTTACAGGTGGACTTTGAGCAGGAGAATAACAAGGTCTAGTTTTTAAAAAATACCTCTCTAACTACAGATGGCCCAGACAAATCTGGAAAGGACAAGAGCAGCCACATAGGATGACTTGTCTGTCCTGCTATGAGTGTATCCTGCTAAGATCAAAATTCTTACTTGTAATAAAAAATACAAATGAAATATGCCCTTTATTGCTACATCAAGTAAAACACAAAGGAAAATTCTAATACTTCTCTCCTGTGTTGATGTATGTCAATATGACTTTAGTAGTTGATTAGGGAACATTTCAATTTTTATTATATCAAAGTTTCAATTTTTATTATAACTAAGTTTTTATTATATCAAAGGCTGGAGATTCATCTTTACATGGTTTCCTTACATTTGAACCTTTTTTGAAAAGTAAAATGCCCAAGGGAGCTGACTGACTGACACACTGTGCCTCACCTTATCATCACGCAACTGGTCTGTTCTGGTTTCACACCTAATTAACCCATTAGTGCTTAACATGCCTTAGGTGTCAGTGTCCCCTCTCAGAAAACACTGCTGGTTTTCCCTGTGATCTCTCCAGGTCAAATGTAGTAGCTCACTTAGTTTTAAGAAGTCCTTCAAGATTTACCGGAAAAGTGGAATTAATGATCTTTCAATGACAATAATAAAGATCATAAATACAGGTGGTGATAAAGCAAGGTAGGCTTCCTCTAAAAATATCAAAGGAAAATACAATTCCAAGCTGCCTTTGGTGGTACACATAAAGGCCACCACTTTGAAGGTGACACAGGCAACACTCAACTCATGACTTTGAAAGTTAATCTGTGGTACCCAGTCTGGTTGAATCTTGTGAGACCAACAAGCACCTAGGGCAGTTGGGTCCCAACGCGGCCAATGCACATTACTCAGTCCCACTTACTCATCCAGTTTCTGACATTTAAGAAGCTCTGTTGACTGGTGAGGTCAAACATTAATAAGAAGCCCATGGCGTCTCTGAAAAATGCAGTGGTGAGACTCCGGAACCTGCCGAGGAAACACAGCGGGAAGTTCTGAAAGTTAGTGCACATACTTTTGACAACACCACAAACAACAGTTTCCCTTTCAGGTATGAATTCTCCACAGCTGGCCTTTATGGAATATCCTAGGGAAAGAGGAATGTGGGCAGAGAGACTGTTGAAGAACCAAGGGAGAAGATTTGGTGGTAGTTTTTTTTTTTTTTTTTTTTT